ATTCCTATTACTATACGAACTCTATGTATAATAGTTGCACGATCTATTTTTCTCCCTTACTTATCTGTTACTGTAAAAACGAAGCGCGATAGAGCACCATTTACTTGAACTCTGTTTATTTAGGAATTAGAAACGAAATTTTGTTTAGCGTCCATTAAATGAACCGTTGCCCATTCATTCTACTTGTCTCGATGTGAATGAAATTGATATACCTGTTATATGAATGAAAACCATAAGTAATGGCGAAACACGATGAATTCTTATTGCTATACGATCTTGTTATAATCGCGTGAACTGTTTACGCTCCGATTGAGTTCAGATACATTGCCGGTCATAAATAGATATTAATTGTATTAGAGACACCTGACGATTATTAGACTATGGATTCTTACGCAATTTCATATTTTTATGACGAGAACTGAAGCAACGATACGTACGTAGTAATTCGTGTCGTCTATTAAAAATTACGATGTGTACTGGACATACTGGATATTTTCTATATTTCCGTATGTTATACGTATTTTATGGATTGCAGTGTTTTTAAATTTCTCATAAATACGTAAACACTCGCTGGCTACCGATGTTTAGCGAAGCTTGATTGCTTCTCGCTGTTTTCATTCCCCAATTATTTTGTCGTAAAGTTTTTATTTCACTTGTATCGCGTTGCCTTGCAATGTAAAATACTCAGCAAAGATGATTTTAATAGACTTCTCCAGTAAATGTGACGAACGCCTAATTTTTACGGCACTCAGTATAAATCCAGTTCTACCGTGAAAATAACATAGAACCTGTATCGTTCGAATAATTATCCGCAGTGCATATGAAGTACATATGAAGATATTTAGAATCGAAGGGGTTAAATAAAATACCGATCCACGTACGGAAGCATTCTGTATATCGTTGCATATCGTTGTATATCGAAACAAAGGGATCGACTACGAAGGAGATAGCATCGTGTTTCCCTGCGAGTTATCCAAATGCTCTAACACGATCGTAAATCACGGTTCGTCTCACAATAGCGTGTGCTGGTCTAGCGTTACCTGCTCGTTACGTTTCTTAACAAGCTGCCTTATCTCGGCTGCCTTCTCGAGTAATTATGCGACTGACGATTTCATTCGAGATATTGTTATCGGCGTATGTATGATTATTCGTTTTTTGTTGCTCGCGACAGACCTCTATAGCAGATAGTAAAATTTATGTTCATCCGTCGTTCGATCACTTGGCAAAAAATGCAAGTAAATCTATCTCTCCCTGCTTCTTTTTTTCATTCTCACGGTTACTTGAAAGTTGCTCGAAGCGGTCACATAAAAATCCGCGGAATATTCTCGTTCGTTTGAGATAATAAATATTTCGCAATCTGTAAGTATAACATAACTGGAATTTTATGAAGACTGAAGTGACTTTTTCATTTGGCAGAGTGGTATAGCCCAGTTTCGGATAATTAAGAGATAATTGGAGGAAGATTAGGAAATAATAAGCCGTCTAAATATCTCACAAGACTCTGGTAACTCTGTAAGTGACCTTACGTCGAACGAAAGATGCCCTATTTTTCTTGGCGTTTTTTTTTTTGTACGTGGAGAAATCCTCATGGACACTCCGCTGTTCTAATAATCGCGTACTCCACGATGACCATCCTACGCGTTTGACAGGAGTGCTCCAGGAACCTCTTATGAATTAACTTCTGTTGCACCCCTTCCCGCGTCCTCTTGTTCGAGTCCTAATAATTCCTGAGTTAGGGTGGGGGGGGCATTGTCCCTAGCGCTATCGTTGGGATGACGATGAATTTTCTTTTTTTTTTTTTTTTTTACGTGGAGGAAATCTTCATAGACACCTTATTACCCTTGTGCAGGCGGGCAGAAGGTAGTGCCGGATTCTTACCACCTAAAACCTCCACGGACGGAACGGTAGACTAGTGCGAGTTGATGTCAGGCCCCTGTGTGCTTAACACCAAGCACCTTTGAACGAGCACACTCCCAGAAAGTACACCCCACAACACACGCAAGGGAGGGGCTGGCCGCTTGCCTGTAGTATATTACTTTTAAGAGAAATTTTGGTTTTTCCGTCCTCTTTTCGAAGTACTCCATGCCGAGGATTCGAACTCGCGACGCGTCGTCTTCAGTTCTGGGCCTTAACCAGCGTAGCTGGCTGTCCCGCCTGCCCTATTTCTTGGCTGTAGAAATTAATTAAGGCTTAATTGGCCTTCCTTGTTTATCAGTTCGATCAGTTTCAGAAGAATTTTTTATGATCTTTGCAAGTTACTCAGTGCAATAGCATGCTCCAAATAGTTTCTAAATAAACAAAGGAGTTAAAGAACACCGTGGTTCGTTTCGAACCAGACAGATACACTTGCTCGTGGGTATAACGTAACCGAAAGTTTAAAACTGTTACTCGGTAGAAATGACTATCGACTGGTTCGTGATTTACTGGCAATTAAATTTCATACCGTGAACGCTTCACGAGATCCTGCATCGAACAAAAGGTACTTAACTTCTTGGCCAGCGGATCCACGCGCTCGATTTAATTTCCCAACGAATGAATGAGCAACACGTTTCTCGTGTTCGTTCCGTTCGAACGTAGGAAATTCGCGTGTTATAGAACACTGCAATTTTCACTTTCCACCTTTAACTGTTCGCACAGGATACAAGGATCTGCAATTCAAATAACTTTTCGCTGTTGATACCATTAGCATAAAACATCGTAATAAATATAATGTTAAATAGCGAAAAACGTTTAACGTTGAAGCAAACGACTCGCGCGTTTAAACTCTCTCCAACGTAAATAAGGTTGTGCCTGATGTTTGCAGTTTGGCCGGCATTATTTAATCGTCACACAGGATATTGTGTATAGATTTATTGTCAAAGTGTTTCTGGGCTGAACGATGCCTAGCCATAGAGCTGCTGGGTGAAATAGTCACGCGTCACGACTACACGTGTGCGTGTGCGTGTGCGAACGCATCATTAGCAAGACTATCATTAGCCAACAAGGCCGTGGACAGGGCCGTCATTGCTGAGAAACGGCCACTGCTTTTAACGCAGCTCGTTTTTCCGGCATTTTCAATACTAAAATTCATACATTTCAATAACGAGAACTTATGAAGAAAAGAATGAAATTATTACCTGGATCCTGTTGTACGATTGAATTGATAATATTAGGGAAATTAGAGTCACAAATAATTAGTATAAATAAATGATTAGTATCTTGCGTTACTTTGTTGAGAGGAAGTTTTGGAAGTAAATTGTAAGGACGACAATTTATTTACGTAATTGTTCTATTTGACGTAGAAATCGACGCAAAAAGTTGTCCATTCATTAAGATTAATAACGATGTTACTGGTTGGAAAATTATTGTGCGAGAAGGCCCTGATAATGTTTTATTCTTTCCAATGACGTCCTTATGACGTTCTTCTCGTGTGAGTATTTCGTACATTTATTTTTAGCCGGCATATCGTGTATTTAGGTGACATAACGTGATTTTTGGAAATTGAAGATTCGCCTGTGATTCGGTATTTCCGCAACAGTGCACGATTTCTCAAATATTTTCAATGTATTGTGATCTCTAAAGTGTTCGGAATGTGTTACATGTTACTCGCGGCAGAGATAGATTTTTAGAAAAAGAATTATTCTAAAACAGTAAAGGCACAGGTACAAATACAACAGATTAGAAAAGAGGAAAGGTAGAATAACGATAAAATAAAACATTTATCAAAACGTATGTATATCCATGACTGGTGGTCGGTCTTCTTAGAATTTCTTTCAATCTCGTCCTCTTTGTTTTTCCTTAATATGTAAATTTCGAGTGCCTCGAGGAAACTGCAAAAGAAAATCTGACGTTAGCAAAGGTTACATTCAAAGGTTACATTATGAGCATTATGGAAATTTTCAAAGAGAATTATAAACGTGATTACAATGATGATAAACCAGATTCGTACAAAATGCTGTACCAGACTGTAAAACACACGATTCTTTGTAAACCGTTGTTTTCAAATGTCACATTTAAACATACCATCATTTATTGCCATTAAGCAGATGTATAATAAAAAATAGATAATAAAAGTTATATATGGGACTGTCTGTAGTAAAATATAAGATTTCTATTATTGTAAAATCGATCACTGGTGGAATCGTTTTGGAATAGATACGGCAAGATATTTCAATTTCTAATAAGAAGATAACTTATTACTTACAAGAGATTTTTCGCTAAATACCAATTCAGAGGAAGCTTTTATTAAATCTGGGTACTCAAATAGAATATTACTTCTATATATCTTGTTTAAATTAAATTCGGTTCGTTGATTTTATGAATCATCATACACGATATTCGCCGGATTCAATCACTCCGACTGGCATAAATCGTTTGCTGAGAACTAAAATCGGTGTCTCATATTTGAAGAGTGCTTGTAGAGAACACTGTAAGTGTCAAGAAAAGAAAGAAAGAGAAAAGAAACAAGTTTTTCAAGAGGGAAGGAAGCATTACGCAAATCTAGTTCAAATTCACAAAGAAGAAAATTGTATCTGTAGGAAAGCCTGTATGTGCCAGATGCTAGTCATAAAGAAAATTCAATGTTCCATCTACTTAGATAGATGGCATAGACAAAAGCCAAGAGACAACTAACTAATGTTTATTCGCACCTATATTTTTCTCTGTAGAAGCGGCGTTGTGACATCATTTTCTAGCGTTATTAATAACTATTTAGAGAGGGAAGTCACACTGCAACTCTACTATTATGGCACTCTTATTGCTACGTAGAAGATTTTCCAATAAAAAAAAAAAAATTTTTTTTCAACTTTGGCATTTACAGCGTCATCTACAAGCAAATTCTGCTCGATTGTTTCCGATCCTTGCAGCTTACAATCTACGAAACAGGCCAGGCGAAAAATCGTGCTCTTTACAAATTTACACAAGATTTTCCAAGAAAGGCTGATCTGTGTCGATGCTTTCGCTCATCGCGGCATATCCTACGTATGTATCTATCTATCCATAAAGCAAGAAAAATACTCGAATAAAAAAGTGTTTAAAAAGGGAAATGCATTCGAATGGATTCAGGCAAATAGCGTGTGCATTTCACTTGCATCTGTATTCTTGTTCTTGAGTCAATCTTTGCTTCTCGAGTCGATCGTAAAAGCGAAGGATATCCGTTTGGATGGTTACTCTTGCTTCTCTTCGGAGTTTCCAGAGATGGTAGAATGATTGCTTCGTGGACCATCCTTCGGTAAGAGGTTGCTGCTTTTCGACGATTGTTTGGTCACGGTGGTCATCTTTAGCGCGTCGATTTCCTTTGGAAATTCTTCCCTCCGCCTTCGTCTCCTCGACGATTTTCTTCGCCTTCCTCGCGATCTCCTTCTACGGGATCTACGTCGAGATCCACGACTCTTGTACCTCCTTCTACCGTATCTCCTCGAGCTTCTTCTCCGGCTAGATCGTCTTTTTCGTCTGCAACGAATGTCGACAGCAGTGGCGTCGCCGCTGTTCATGCATTGATTGTACATGTAGTCGTGATTGTACGTGTAGCATCCGCTGAAAACAAGGAGACTGTTGTAATGTATTTAGACACACGTAGCATCTGATCTGTCACATAAGAAGTTTATTTCTAACGGGGTACGTTACTCTGGAAGTTTCAGGAAATAGAATTTTCCATTTCTAATTTGTAACATTCTCAAGGTTTCAAGTTTTAGAATATTTTGTTCGTGTGGTTTATTGAGCCGAAGCTCGAGCAGATTTTATCTCAAAACTTTGATACGTACGTTTTCTGACCTGGTTCTTTGCAATTCGATTTCCTTCATACTTTGAAGTAATATTCTATAATAATTCATAATAATATTAATATGATGTAGCCTTGAGTTTTTTTTTAATTTTGTAACGCTATTTGAATTCTTTTCTTTTTTTTTTTATTATATTATATAGTTACATCCGGGCTGCTTTTAGAACTGATCTTTTTGGCAAAATGATTGTGTTCCTTTTCAAATTACTATCATTTGCTACAATTCAATTTTTTGTAAAATTCTAGATTAAGATAATAGATTGTAGTTTGTGAATCGTTTAAAAAATGCAGCTATTGATGTAGGAAGGCTGCTTGTAGAAATTAATCCTGTTTTCTTGCATTTACCCCTTCAAACGCTGAAGAATACCATAAGTCACGCCACGCCTCAGGGCAAGTTGAACGTGACGCCTAATCTCAGAGCCAGGAATATTATATTCTTGAGCAATGTAATTACTGATTTCCTGTGGAGTTGATCCTTGAATGGCCTGCAGCCTACGAATTGCTTCTACGACCTGGGCCTCGATTTTTGGAGATTTTTGCGCTGCCATCGTAGCATTTGCTGCTATGGATCGCCGAAGACGATTTAATCTACACAAAATACTTTGACATTCAATTTAGATATTCACACAAAATAAAAGCTACTTTTGTATTAATATTTACTAAAAAATGTCCTGTAACTAATACCTATAATTATTTCCCTTGACTATTAATAATCGATAGATTATAACTAATAATTTCTCACTGAATGTTTTTTTCTCTTCGACATTGGACGAGAATGGTTCTGATCAGGCTACCAAGCAATATTTACGATACTTTCGAAAAAACATAATTTACCATAAAAGATACGATTGTACATAATTTTTCAGCGCTGACATTTTGTTTGACAATCCATTGATCACAAATTTCACTCGGTTGAATATTAAACAACCGCGTTTCCAAGAGACAATCGCGCCTTCTCCATATTTTCCACTCGATATCCAACGAGTCGAACATGCGTATACGCGTGCTTTTATAATTGGCGGCGATCCAGCGAGAAAAATGAAGCGATCTCGATCTATTTCTTTTCGATGTTTGCATATCTGCCGGTTCTCCTCTCGGACCGGTGGTCCTCCGTCTCTTTTTCTTTCTTTCTCTCCTGATCTACCTAAGCAGAAATAAAACAGTACCGAATAGCGCCAGAAGAGTACGATAGACCTTTAAACAGTGACGTCATCGAAGCTGTTTTCTCATGCCTTCGTAAATATAGTACTCTTCCGGCTGTTTGACTTGCAAATTGAGAGTACAATTAGAGGAGTGCTTAAAAAATTGCCGTTCGAATTATCGCCGAGACGTGGCGAAGAACCGAACGAAATAGTATCTAGTAGTATCCACGTGAAATTCCATTTCTAAGATGGCGACTTTACTAAAAAAGTAAAAAGGCAAGAAAGTCCCATTTTTGAACGCTACCCGTTGCGTTGAATAAATAAAACTCGCCTGTAATAGGAAATTGCAATTTTTCCTTCTGCTAAAATTGTTTAATTATTTTGTTAGTAGATTCGGGGTTTTGTGTATTTATGCGGAACTGGAATGATACTTTTACTAAAGAATGACAGAAGTCCCATCCTTCGACGCTACCCGTCGCGTTAAATAAATAGAATTCGTCTGTAATAAGAAATTGCAATTTTACTAGAATTGTTTAATTATTTTGTTAGTAGATCCGTAGTAGAACTTGAATGGCAGCTTTGTTAGAAAATGACAGAAATTTCGATTTCAGAGGAACAAGGCCTTTATAGATGTGCAAACTGGTTTGATTTTCATAGATCACTGTGGTTGATATATATGTAATTGGAAATTCATAGTTACGCCATCCTCTGCGGTGTACACACCTGTTGTATCCTATGAAACGTGTGCAATCGTCTGGAATTTGATTAAATGATTTTTATCCGAATCCTGAAAGTAGAATTTAAATTAACTTTATCTTTATTCAACACTTCTTAGTAATGTAGGAGTTTTTCGCTACGTTTTTTTCTAATAATACAGTGTTTAGATAAATAATTCAATATCTATTCGCTATTAAATCATTGGTAATAGATAGATGTACGTGTATTTTAAGTTGTAAAGACCTTTGGTGTATTTTGTCTTCTCGACTGCGATATGTCGGTTGACATTAGAATTATCTGTTAAATCTAATACGCAACATTTAAAAAGAAGTGTCGTGTATGAAATGTAATAAATAGTGATAAGAAGAATCTTCTTACAACGTTGGTCGGATCTCCTGTAGAGAGCAGCACGCACAGAGTTAGACTCTACTGGCATCTGGCTCGGGTTTATGGAATTTCGTGGCGCCATCCGGAACCTGCCATGCATCGGTACACACGGCAATCAAGAAAAAAAATCAAGACTTACTTTATTAGTAAATTATTCTGTAATTCGCTCTCTGTTCAAAGGACAGACGTGTATAAATATTTATTGACTTCCATCAACCTTTAGAACGACGTTCATAGGTAATTAGAAAGGAAATCTTATATTTTTTATTCTTCGGTATTTTTCTGTTTTCCTCTAAACCTTTCCTCGACTAGAAATTGCAGATTTCTATATAAATCTGACTTTGTTTGTTTATATATATAATTGGTAACGAAATGAGATTTGGAGAGAGTTTTGTTTCGTCCGATATGCAATTTCAAGATTACGTCACAAATTGATGAAATTTTAAGAAGCAAATCTGTTAAACGACGCCATTATAGTAAATATATATTATATATACACCAATGAAATCAATATACTTATGCATAGTTCAGTATTGTCTGGTAGTCTATATTTGCATATGTTACATATGTTTATACATATAATATTTTTAAATTTTACACATCTTGTTTTCATATTTTAAACGTACGAACATTTGCAGTCTATTTCTATTCATATCTCGAAAACTGAATTATCGATACGAGTCATATCTATCGATCATACGTAGCGCGCTCTATATATATATACTAAAAAGTCGAACAATCGAGCAGCCATGTTGGACTGGAATTTTCAAATTGGTCAGTGACCGCGTTACAGTTGCGTAATTTTATAATGTAATATGTGGTTATTATTATGAAAAGTGAGTTTAGAAGCTGAATATGAAGCCGAGATGACATCAGGGATGACGGGGACGCGAAACTTTCTCCGGAAACATCTTCTGTAAGTGAAATCTTCAAATTTTATCTTCTTTACTTTACATTTTAATGGCGTCTACTAAAATAGTCATTTAAAGCGAGTTTGCGATATCATAAATAGTAGTCGAGCGCATATGCCACAAAATACGAAGTCGATTGACAAACGAACGATTTCTCTCTCGTATATGGACATTTTCGTGAAATATCGCGAAACGAAGAGCTTCGTGAACGTACAAGGACATACACCGGACACGATGCATTCATCCGTGCGAGATCCGCATACGAGTTGTTTATTGTTAGCTGGCTAACGCGAGTTCCTGCATAAACTGATTGTCCAAATGATTCTAAATTGTCCAGGTTTGATTACAGGAATTGCTGCATTAGCTTTAATGAATATTATATATATTTAAGATATCTCCAGTACTGGGACCAATTCGTAGGATTTTCGTAATATGGCTGCCATATTGAATGACGTCACGAAACAACCAATGATAAAATATCTAATAGCAAATACTTAGAATACATTTCCTCAAATCGTTTATGGAATTTTTTGAGGTTAGACTTCAGACATTAGAAACAAACAGGTAAAGCGAGTAAAATCTAATACGATGATACTTCACAAAGTAGTATAACGAGTGTAATCTTCTTTCAGTCAATTCTCCATTCTTTTTTCTTTCCATTTCCTATTCCCTCTTTCTAATAAAATACGATAAAAATGAAAAAATTATTACATAAAGATGAACGTTTCTTCAAACGAAGCTGAAGTAATTGATATGTGACCTTCTTTCGTTCTAGAATCATATAATCTTTTTACGAGTTACGGGATCAGGAGTAAAAGGAATATGTAGAGTACGGTTGTTATTAATCGTAGAGATGAATTCGAAACGGTGCAACACGGCGGCGCGTAGCGAGTTGAAACACACACCGGACCGAGCGAAAGTGGTCACATAAATGTCGAGAACAGAGAACGCGGCCTAACGAATGTGGAGAGATCGGTGAACCGGAAGCGAAAGGCGCGCAGCTTCACGATTCGTTTGGTTGGAGGTATACGCGTAAGATCGTCCGCCTGCTGGCCTTTAAGCATCACGAAACGAGAAATCTCCTTAATACTCTGTCTCTCTTTCTTTGTTTTGCACGACTTTACTTTCCTTTGGTTAAACAGTTTGAAATTGTTAAAACATAAGGTAGCTTCAAAGTATTAGACTAGGAATATCAATTATCATTTTAAAAGGTGATTGATGCGGAAGTTTCATGTTCATGTGGCAGCAAAAGTATGTATTATATTAGGGATATTAGCTATCGTCTTTCAATAGAAAAACACGTCTGGTCTGGATGTTTCTACTTATTTCTTAAGAAGTTTTATCTTGTATTTAATTATCTAGCAGAGTCTGTTCCAATCCCAGATGGGACTAATTCATCGATTGTACTCGTTGATTGTTTCATAAAATTATTTCTTCGTATTGTTACATCAATATCATTGATTACAGTTCTTTTCGAATATGAATCCTTCCAAATCTATTTAATATTTCTTCATCCCTTCGTTTTCATCTTCGTATATCTGAATCAAAGTTCCAGATAAATATTAGCTTTTATAGTATAGTACAATATCTAATTCTACAATGAGTTCAAGAATCTGTACTGAAAGAAACATGTTCCAAGAGTTGTTCGCTCGTTAGTTCTTATGGAGTATCTGAAGTAATGTAGGAACTTTTCTAAAGATACTGAACTGCAAATTTACCAATTGCTGCTATGTTTGAAGAAGATAGCTGGATAGAGAAAAATAGATTTCAAGTCGTGTTTTATTATACGTCATAAGAACAAGCTGATAAGCTGGGTATTCTGTGATATTTGCAAAAGCTTGTCGACAGTAAATCACCGCGAAAGGCTGACTCAGATGTAACACTTAGAAAACTCGATTGAATGAGATGCCTAACGTTTACGCAATATTAACGGCGTCGCCATAACGCGTTGCAGCGGCCACGTTTGCGATACGCAAGGCCGTGGTCTCCAGAATTTTTCGTTACGGTATTAACTCCTTGATAAAAGGTACTCTAAACACGTTGAATCATCCACCGTCAGATATATACAACAGATAAACAGCGAAACGTTTCTGCGCTAATATGTTTCTCAGGTGTTAACGATACTAAATAAGTTTTTCGGCATATTGGACTCGTTTTCTAATCTTTGATTCGCATCCTAACTTTCAACGTTCAGAAATCTGTACTTTATATTTTAATTGACTGAATCAAAGATAAATATAATGAAGGATAAAATTCATAGATCGAATCATCAGAGATTTTTTTTATTTTAAGGGAAATTCGCCTTTGTTTGTTAATGTTAATGTTGCAATTTTTGTTGTACATTTCAATCCTTACGATGGAAACTATGAATATAAAATTGCATCATAGATCGAAGCTTTTTCTAGAACGTGGAACT